CAAGATATAGAAGGCTTATTTGAAGGTGGCTAGCCAGTGGATGAGGCAAATTTTTCACTACAGAAAGACAGAAATTGTGAAGGTAAAAAAATCAGGATTATTCAGGTGTAACTTATTGAACATCTTGAGTGACTCGGATATTCTTAGTTATTTTCATATTCTTGCATTAGGATGTGGTAATGGGCAATATTCCGTATGATGCTTCATCGGGTAGACTGCACACAGGCATTCGCCTGTACATAGTACATGCAAGTTTTTTGCTTACAGCGGATTCATGGCTCACCGGATCGCCTGATGGGTTTACCTACGGTGAGAATCAGTTAATTATTCCGATTTTTCAGGATTATAGCGAAAATTCATTAGCCTCAAGGTGATGAGTATTATATGCTTAATTTCTTGAATACGATTTAAACAATACATTTATTATTAACAAAACCTTCATACTAGCTATTCCTTTTATTATGTCTTAATTTAAAGCAATAATTTCCTTTTTCCATATGCAGCCATATCAATGAAAAATTGAAGGCATTTCTGCGTTATTTTACCGCAGCACAAGGCAAATTATTTTTAGACAGTTTGCATCGCGAAGGCGTGCTAAAATTGGAAATCTCTTACCTTCTCGAGTTGTGCCACAAGGCTTCCACCACTAATCAACCCAGTCGACTTAATCTGAGCAAAATGAAATCGCTCTCTTCCAAAGCTATCTCAATTTATGTACCAATCACCAAGACTCAGGGCAATGCTATTTGTCCGGTAGCTGACCGTGTTGAGGGAGGTGATTACCTCAGTAAAGGCCCCGCTTCTGACTTTCAGCGCATTGCTCCCAGTTCAAGTCTTAAGAAGCCACGGCACAATGATACGCACCGTCTGCGCAACACTCCTAGTACTTTGAGACGAAAGAGACGCTATCGTTCGTATCCTTGGTATATGAAGACATCAAAGAGCTCTAAAAAGCGATAGTTTTGACTGCAGATGTCGATAATATATCCATTAGCTTTGTAATGCAACTTATTTTCATTACACCTGCCATATGCATTTCAGAATCAATAATCTATTATCATGATGCTTCTGCCCTAACTTTTCATCAAGATTTCTTTGTCTATCTGATCAACTCCATTGATCTCGACATTTTATTTTTATGCAACCTTTTGTGAATTGATTTAAACCCTATTGCTATTTTAACCAATTGATTAGATGTTACACAAACTACACTATTCTACTTTATTTTACCCTATTCATCGTAACACATTGTATAGTCATTTGATCTTAATAGCCTTCGATATTAGTTTTCTGCTTATTTCTGCCCAGGTTCTCGCTTCAAAATCTTCACGGGCCATCACGAGACAGTTGCATGATGCTTAATGCTGGGCTGAAATGCACCCAGCAAGATTTGAATGGTTATTCTTTAATCAAACTTAAACTACATACTCGGTTATTTCAAACGATCCTGATGTGCTAATTCTGATATTACATGGCTTTTATGTATATCAATTTATTAAATCATACATCAG